GTAATATTTTTGAATATTAATAAGAGGTCTACCAAAATCTGTTGGCATTGTTTTCTTATTATATTCAATTATTTTTTTAATTTCATTCTAATTATTTTTTGAAATTTTATATTCTGTAGTATTTAAAATTTTATTTTTAAAAAATTTGCCTATAAAATAACAAAACATATGAGGAGCAATATTTTTAAAAAGTGCATGCATAATATCTACTGGAAATAATAAAGGAAGATTAATTGAAAATAACTCAAATAAAATACTATATCCATTTACTTCTATTAATATATATAATAAATAAATTAATTAAAATAAGTTAAAATTTAATTATTATAATAATAAAAATTACCTTTTTTATATTTTTTACTATCTAGAATATAACTACTATAAGAATGCATTAGTAAATTTTTTGGATTATAATTATTATATTCTTGTAATAATTGAAGTGGATAATATATATGTCTAGCAGTTTCAGAATAAGATCTTTTTATATAACAATATCGGCATCCATATTTAGCATTATGACCTAAAAGACAGATAACTTTAAATAAGGCAAAAATATCTCCAGACCATGAAAGAATATAACTATACAATTTAAATGTTTCTTTTAATATTTTATCATAACAAGTTATACTGCTTACAAAATTTAATTTAATTAATATTTAATACTATTAATTATAATTTAAAATTTAAAAAAAATTACATTCAAGCTGCTTTAATTCATCAACTAATAGTTGTAAAAAACTATTGAAATCTTTTGGAAATTTTGATCCAGGTATAACCATATTGATTATTAAATTTTCCTTTTTACTCTTTTTGATAGTAAAAAATTTGCATTTAAAAGTAAAATTATCTAACAGTTATTTTGTTTTTGTTTAAAAACTTGATAGCTATCTGTAGATACAATTAAAGCAACATTTTTATAATCTAAAAATAAGCCTAATGCTACCAAAGTTTTATATTTATTACTATCAAAAACATTCTCAATTTTGCTACTCTCAGAATTATATTCTTTTCTTAATATATATTCATACCAATATCTAAGATTTATTGCTCATAATGGGTTTTTATATTGTAATTTCAAGCTATCAGCTATTGAAAAATATGCTAATTGTTTTCTATATTTTTTTATTTTTTTTTTATTTGTATATCATGACTCTTTACATATAGGACATACATTAAGATTAGTATTTTGTTCAGTAAATACATAGCAAGAGTTCCAACAAATATCTATAAGTTTTGGTTCTAGTGAAACCAAATTTTCTAAAACTTTTCAAAGCCAATAAAGAGAAACATTAGAAATATTAAAAATTTCTAATATTTCATTAAATGCTTGATCAGAAATTGTATGTTTATTTTTAATATAAAGAAGCTGAAGCTCTTTAATTATTTTATTTGGTAAATCTAAAATATAAAAATATTAGGGTTCCTAGGTTCAGTTCAGTTCAGGTTCAGGTTTAATGAACCTGAACCTGAACCTGAACTTCAAATTTTGCAGATCATTGAACCTGAACCTGAACTGAACTTTGAATTTATGAACCTGAACTGAACCTAAATTTAAAGTTTTGGTTCAGTCAGGTTTAGTTCAAGGTTTATGAACATGTTCAGATTTAGTAAAACATAGTAACTAGTAAAAATATATTTACTAACTTTTTTTTTTGTCTTTAAAATTTCTGAATTTGGAGTTTTTCAACCAAATCTTTTTCTTTACTAAGTAAACCATTTTTTAACTTCTAATAAATGCTGTAGAGGAGTGTCTTACAATCAAAATGGTAGTTAAAACATTAAAATCGGCCTAGTAAATCATGAGATAAAAGTATTTTTGTCTTCACGATTATATGTTTTCTTCTTTATATAAATAAAGAAGAAAGTATTCTGATAAAAAATAAAATACTATAATGAAAATTTTTTGATATCTCCCAGATGAGAATATTTTATATTTTTATATAATAAAGCTGGCCCTGGTGGCTCAATTTCGCATACATAATCATGTTTACGTTTGCATGTGTATTTCGTAAATTTATTTACCATGCTAACTTCATTAATGTATCGAAAATTTTATCTAAATTTTTTGGCAAAGTGAATTCTTTGTGAACTGAGTTCATGAAGTAATTGATGTTTTTTTTTTCAAGTACTCATGTAATTTTTATTAACTTAAGCTTTTGAATATTTCTCTATCTTATATAAAACAATGACAAACACACAATCTAAAATCAATTTATTAGAACAGAATTCCAAGCTTGTAGTTAGTGAGTTTAAAAAAAAGTATACTGAGATTAAGGCTGAGAACGTGAAGCTAAAACAGGTCATGGAAGAGAATACTGGTCTTAAAACCAGGTTAGAAGAGCTAGAGAAAAAAAATAAAATGGATACTGCTATTCTTATTGCTGAAAATGATGAGCTTAAAGACAGAGTCACCAAATTAGAACAGAACCAGATCTGGGTTACCATTAATGAACAGGAAGCATCTCCCACAAAAGATATTTTGCCATCCTCAGCTTGTTCAGAATTATCTATAATTTCTCAATCATCCGCTTCAACTATTGAAACTTACTCCAATGAAGAAAATTATATAGGTCCTGTGGATCCAAATATGGTACAAAATATTACATCTAATCTTGGCAAAATTGAGAAAAGCTCAGAATCTGCGTCATCTATCTGCACAGAAACTAAATTATTAGAAAATAGAGAGATTAATGAATTTCTAGACTTAATACATAAGAAAATGATTAGTAATAAGATAAGAGAAAGAAATCGGGAAAATAAGTTCAGATTTCAAGACCCTTTATTATATGATAAAGATATTTTGCAATCTAATAAAAACAAAGTACAAAGATTTATGTTAGGAGTTTCTGAAAACTCTAGTCCACAACAATATACTGATTCTATTATTAGCAAAGTTAGCACGGCTAATGGTAATGTAACCCCGAATGAAACAAAATTTCAACTCAGCAATGCTAACTTTACGCTTTTATATGAAAAATTTGTAATGCTATAATTCTTGCTGATTGTAAAATCCAAGAAGCTATAATGTGTTATTGCCTATTTGGAAAGGCCTTATTTAAAGACATAATAAAATAGCATCAGAAAAACAAGTTGATCCAGAATCTAATATTGTTAGTAGAATTTTAAATAAAGAAATAAAAACACAGTTACCTGCAGATACTTCTGATAGCCTTTTACATAAGAGAATTGAAAAAGCAAAGAAGCTTTATAAACTTTTTAATACAATAGGTATGGATAAAATTTATCGCATTTATTTCTTTTCTGCTAACAGTATATCTAAATTAACGAAGAAGAAAATTTAGTATATTATAGATAACGTATCCTTTGATTATAGTATTCAAATTGAGTTATATAGTAATGAGAAAAATCTTGAGCATATGAACCAACTTTGTGAACCAAGTTCACGAAGTAATAATAAAAATTTCTTTTATTTAAAAGTTGAGGTAAGTATACCAACCATATCTTAATCCAAGAAAGATTTATTAGAAGCTAAAGAAGGTTCATTTTCTGAGAAGATATTATTGGAAAAATTATCAGAAACAATTTTAGAGGAATCAACCAAGGCAAGTATATCATCGAATCTGACTTATAACTATGCTTATTTTTATAATAAGATATTGTGGGGATATTCTGATCTATATAAAGAATTTAGTAGTGAAAAATTTGATTATTATAGAATTTTTGAGGGATCATTATGTCCAGTATGTAAGAAAAGTCATGAGGAAGTGAAAAGTATAAAAGGTAAATATGAAGCTAGATCCTATTTTATTTACAAGTGAGACCATTCCAAATATGGAAATATTTATCTGAGTCACCTGATCATTACACAACTATTAAAAAAATTTTTTTTATATGTTTACTATACTATATTTCTGACCTAATATCATATTAATATATTAAATTTCAGGCACATTATAGCAATTTAATAATATATTTAATATATCAGTATTGGTAATATCGTGATAGTTTTTTTTGATACTTTATTTAATAAAAAATAATTATACAATTTTTTTTTAATAAATAAAAAATAAAATAAAAAAAAACAAAAAAAAAAAACAAAAAAAAAACATTACAACTCTAAAAAAGATTTTTTTGTATTTTCTAAATTCTCTATTGTTACTGTATCATCAATTGCTATTTCAGTATCATCCAAACCATCCTCAATTATGTCTTCAAAATCTTCTTCTATAAATTTATTTTCGCCCAACTTTTTCTTCATACTTATCCTTAAAGCATTAATATTTCTTGAAACTTCAGCCCTAAGATAATCAAGACAAATCAAATACTTAAAATTACATTTTTCTAAACAATAATCGTGATAACCATATCTACATATAAGAACTTTTCTACTATCCGAGTAGTTAGTATAACTGGTGTAGTCGCAATACAAGTAATCGCATAAGATAGTTATAAAAGGCTTTCTAGATGTAATGAAACCTCTTGGTAAATAACGATCTGTTATTTTGTAACCTAAAGAAGACAAATTATAAGTGTTAATATTGTCTGACAAACTGATGATTGAAGAATATAGATAGCATCCTCGATATATCTTCTTAAACATGTTCAGAAGCAATAAAGCACACTTTCGATAAAGCATGTGCAATTGCTTGGGAGAATATGGATATTTTACTGAATTCACAAATATTGTCAAAAAGCATTGTCTCCCCGGTGCTGAAAAATAAAGTGTGCCTCCTTTTGCAATTAATTTGTCTCAGAAAACTTAGCTGTATGTCATCGAATTATACTGTGAACAAGCTCTATAGGACAATCACTTAAAGAAGAAAGATTATTAGTAACCATATCAATCATAGGATGATTTGTTTCCATCCAGTAAAAAATATCAGAAAAAAACATTAAAGAAGCATGTTTATAATTTCTTTGGTTGAATTGAAGAAAAAGATCACTCCAGCATTGAAAACAAGTCTCTTCGTAAGCTGACCAGTTACCCTCTTGATGGTGTATTGCGTAAACTTTAAGAACTAAAGGGATTAAATTACTCAAAAGATTGGTTAGATATAAAAATTCAACATTCTTACAAGTATGACTGAATTTTAAATAAACCATATCAGATATATCAAGCCACACCATGTGCATAACGTGAAGTATTAAATCAATTCGTCATGGCTGTGGCTTCTTACCAAGTTCCTTTTTTTGCCCAAAAATACCTTTATAGACATCATTAAATAAAAACCAATTCTTCTTAAAAACAAGCTGATAACTGTTTAAAGAAACGTGAAGAGGGCCCATCATAAGTACAAATGCCATAATACACGAAGGGATTATTTCGTTATTAAGAAGAAGCTGATGTGTAATAGCTTTGCAGATAAAGAACTGCCTGGGCCAGTCTGCAACAATTGGAATTATGTTATTAGAAAGATATTCCTACATTGGCTTTTGATTATACACAATTTGGAGCACTTTTGTGTAATCTTCAACACCCTTCAAAGTGCTTTTGATGAAATCGAAAAGAATGGCATTCTGTATATATCTGTTGCTCTTCTTTTTTTCTTCCAATCTGTCATTGTAACTATGCAGTATTAGTCTTTCTATAAGCTTATCTTCAGAACACTCACCTATATATTTCTGTCTACATTCATGGTAAGAAACTCAAAGATTTACGATAAATTGTTCATCAAGATGCTTCTTAATTAACTCATCATCAACTATTTTTGGGTTGAGTGCTCTGTTATGCGGTATAGCTGATATGGGGCTTGGATTCGCAATAATAGTTGCTATGTGTGCTGCTCAAGACGTACTAGTAGTATCAGGTTGTCGTAGAAGTAGTGCAATAATAGGAGTTCTGGGACACTTTTTTGGTACCCTGGGTATTAAAGCATTCATTTTGCTTTTCAGATCACTCAAGAAGCCTATATTCTATAAAAACTCTTTACTACCTATATAAAAACTAGGATATCAAAAATTATATAGCTAGAACTCTTTATTTTTATATTTTATAATCAAATTGGATAACGACAAAAAAATAATCGCATCATCATACCAGATATCATATACTATTCACCTATATATAAATTAAAGTACCAAAAATTAAGTATCTATTTTCTTTTTATAATACTTTTGATAATGTCTACCAACATAATAGCTTCTAATATGGTCACAACATCTACCGCTTTTAGACCGAGTAGGTTTATTACAATCAGTACAAAGAAAGTATTTGATTGCATTTTTATAAAGCCAGCACCCTTTAGAATTCATACACGATTGACCGCATATCTCTCTGATATATAAAAGAAAATCACATATATATTTTATAAGTAACAGATAAGAAATTACGTACCAGCATGCATATACAATGAGTAATCAAACTCAAAATACAAAAGATATCCAAACCAAGCCCACCTATCAAGAAGTTGAGCAAGCTTTAATTAATGTAGTTAAAGCAGGCATCTATTATAAA